ATGGCCGCGCTTTTCTTAGGCCGATGTCAGACTTTGCGAATCGCGCGATTCGCAAAGTCTGACATCGGCCTTACAGCGTCAGCGGAAGGCGGGGCTTGCGGACGAAGGTGTGGATTGCGGGTTGAGCGAGCTTCTTGCGCCTTTGTCGCGCACTTTCAAGCCGCAAAAGGGGCGCGACATCAACGCTTGTCCGCCTGTCTACTACGCTCCGGGATGGAACAGGTGAGCGCGCCTAATCCCGGAGCGTGCCTTTAATACCTCAGTAATACTTGAAGTCGAATATATGCTGAATTTCGATAAGTTAATGCACTGCATTTCTTTGCTGAAAGCAACAGAACTCTATCCAGAAGGGCGAAGAGCGATAGAACGTGATGAACAACAGTTCACCTTTTTCGGTTATGCGTTTTCTTTCTTCAAAAGTCATTAAAACGTCGACTGGCTGATGATAAATAGATACTTTTGGCACATTTGGAAAAGTGTGAGCACCCTTTGTTCTACATTGACCCAGCTCTAGTGCTGGCCCTCCCATTCAAGGAGAGCGCCGTTCTCGGAGCAGAGCAATCCCAATATACAGGGAGAGGGCAGGGGGTAATAAAAGACAGAACTTTTGTCTTCACATTTTGCGGAACATCCCGCTGGGGTGAAAGTGTGTGGTGTCGCAGAGTGGCACCGCTTAACCCACGCGCGCGGTAGGATCAATACTGGAGTCCAGGCCTACTAAGCCTTCCATTCTTCTGGGGTTGAATTACGTTGGTACCAGACTTGTCTGGGAGGATAAAAACACTGACTTGTACATCGGCTGGCCCCCGCAAGTCATTGTATAGGCCACATCGCATTCAACCGCCACTACGAATGTACAAATGGAAGTAGAATGCGTGCCGCATCCAAAAAAGGATTGATCAACGGCGAAATACTAAATCTTTTTATACTTCGCGCTCCGCTCGAACCGGGCCTCGCAACTCAAAATTTAATAGCTTTTTATTGCCATAGAAAACTCCTTTACCATTAGTAGCCTCTTACATGCGCATGGCTTCGAAAATGCCGCGCGAAAGCATGAAGCGCTGGCGCCCGCTCATCGCGAGTCCTCGACTGGGCCCCGCATATTTCGCAGTAGTGAAACTATACGAAGTTATAAAGATAAAAGGGCGGAAGTGGTGTAGTGACAAGTGGCGCGCTTACCACGCGAGCGGTCCGGGGATCAAATCCTGGGTCGTGAGTCGCCCGGGCCAACCAAGCCTTCCATCCCTCCGGGGTCGGTTAATTGGTACCAGACTTGTCTGGGAGGATAAAAACACTGACTTGAGTGGAAGCTAATGTGCCCTAGAAAGGGATTTGGCCACATCACGCTAGTACTCTGTCGCAGCATATTCAGAGGGCAGCAAGCGGCATCTATGTTAGCCAGCTTCTAGCTACTTGTAGAGCGGAAATATTAGAATAATTTGGCATACGGCTACCACCAACGACTGCAAATTTGTGACCCAAAAGACCGCTGAAGTATGTCAAGGCAGAATGTTCTATTCTGGCCTTCCTGTACTCCCGAAATCCTAAAGTGGTCTGGAAAGACTTGTTGCTTTTCGCAGCGGAACCGTAGCCTCTTTTCAAGTTGTGGAAAGTTTTTAAGAACTTAGACAGATTTATGCCTCATAATTTATTATAGCTAATACAATTACAAACAAACAATAGGTGAAGTAAGACAAACAAATCTCCGGTAGAGAAAACAGTAAGCATAAAATGAGGTGATACAATTATAACCCTAAATTGCTTTTTTCACTTCACCATCTGCATTCATTTCCTTCCTATACACATTTCTTACGGGACTCTAATTTACGCTTTATTCGGAAATATATTTTATTCATAGAAAAATCTATACACGAATCATAAATTGACAAACATCCGACCCGCATCGGGTTAACCGCACCAATGCACTCACATAAATCTGTTCTTTTGAGGGAATCAGTCTTAATAAAGGAAACAAAAAAATGACATGATTATTTGGGCTACCAGGAGAAGTAGAATGAAAACATCGGAACAATTTAAATGTCCCTAACAGATTTTTACTTCTCTCCAATAAGTGCCTGATTTGGGTCATTGTTAGTCTGCCGTTGATCGTTTGTCGGCACCGCCACAAAGCCATCTTTGGGTTTCTTCGGAGTGAACACCGACAAAAACTGAAAATAGGATTCGGTTGAAGGTTTGAAAATATTTTGTGGGATTGGTGAAGAGGAGGTTAAGAAATCGAAGAAGGAAAATGGGATCGTTTCAGAAGAATCGTAGACACATTTCACCACAGCAGCTGGGATGGTTGAGTTTAATATGAAACGAGGGGGCTGGAAGTCTCGCTAGTATAAGAAGTAGGAAATATTTCATAAAAGCCCTCTGTAGTGCCCTGCTTTCTACACTTTCGCTTGGTGCTATTAGGCATTGTTGTGCCTCTTGGCGAAGATACACTGTGCACCGGGAGGAGTACGCAAACGTCAAACAAATGAGGACAGACATGATCTGTTGAATGTTTCCTGGCCTACCTCATGAGCCTATAGCGCCTTAACCAAGATGACCTGAAGTTGCCGAACTCCGGACCAACTTATCTATCTTACGAAGAAATTGTTTCACTCCTCTGCACGCAGGATGTTGACATTAAAGGAGGATTACACTGTAAGGGCGAAGGTCGAAAAAGTGGAAAGCCAACTAATGGAAAGACAGACGGACTCCCTAAGAGTGCGGTTTGCTGCGAAGGATGTGCCTTCGGTGATTTAGCATGACCCTAACCGCGGCCCTATCGGCGCAGTACGCCCACTAGCTACCCACTCGCCCTCTTGGGAACATTACCCAGTTAAAAAGTAATATGCAAAAGTTCTACGTTTAGGGATTAGTGTTTCAGTTTCAGTTCCCTAACACTATATTTTACTCTGAAGGTTGGTCACCCTTTTAGTTCTCTTATTTCTTTCATTTTCATCCCAGTTTTTTTTACTTTCTCCTTTGTTTTACCAGTTGTGTTCTGGTTTGTTATTGGTATTGATATCATCATTGTTGTTTTAGACTGATTTTGTTTTCTTGAGTTTGTTTTCATGTACGCAAGGTACATGTACTAAATA